TTGGTAAGTTGCTAAATCTTTTGAATAGGTAACATGCAGTTTTCCTGAGGATGAAGTAGGATGACTAACAGTCCACAGCCCAGAGAAGATGCCCTATAAATGGTCATTCATTCCCTCTTCTTCCTCTAGGTCATTTAATAACTGCTTGCCTTGGGATCAGGATAGCTAAGAGGAGCCTGTCCAGTCCTCTCCTACATGTAAACCCTCTACAACTAGCTCTAACAAGAGCAGTTCCCTTCAACTGTGCCACTGTAGCTTGGTACCTTCACTCTCACCTCAGATATGCAGCTACCATCTGGACCTTGACCATGAAGTCCACAATCATTCAGTTTTTTCTCCTGGCCTTCCCTTTGGCCCACGGTGGGAGATCCTTTTATATGTCCCTCAGTTTCTCAGTGCTAACAGCTTTCAGGGAGTGTATTCGCACCCTTCCAAAATGCAGGCATCAGGGAAAGTGCTAATGTGCATCGTATACACTAAGTCAGGCCCTGCTATACACTTAAAGTCCATATATATGTATACATGGCCTCAGGAAGCCTCCAACCACCCCATTCTACAGAAGAGGAAAAAGAGACCCAGAGATGAATTCACCTGCGCATATGAAGCAGCCTTGGAACTGCAGAGACAGCATTAGAGCCTCCGTATTTAACCATTTTGTTACATGCTCAGAGTCTGGGACACCTGTTTCTGGGCACTGAGCTTGAGGTTCGGAAAACCTACCAACTGACTACTGAAGGCTGGAACATATCTAATTGGGAGGTGATACCCAGCCCCTCAATCTCGCTGGCAAGCCTCCTTAGACTTTGTGAATGAAGGCCAAGGAAGAGAAATGTTGCAGTGACTCCCTCGGAGCTCGTATTTCTTTCCTGTGGCAAAAAGTGCTTATTTCAGCATCCATCATCTCCCTCTTTGTTGTGTAGACAATCCGCCCTGTCGGAGGATTTGTGCTGTTATTATGAGTTTGTTTATTACTGGATTTATTTCTCCTATAAGCAAATGTGTTCACAACATTCCATCAGGGAATCTTCTTAATTGTCACATAAATGTCATCTTATGTAAATTGAATATTTATCTTTCCACAGAAGGGGTGGAGGGGAAAAAAAGGATAAACAACCTTCAGTCTTGGAGAGGGGAGGCGGTTCCTATTTCAGTTCACAACTCACCCACGTGCCTTCAAAGTCAAAGGTGAGGTTGAAGAAATTATTGGATCATCTTTGAGGGACAGCCAGAAAGGAGGGGTTAGAAAAAGTTGGCAATGATGCTTTGAGGATATTGGGCCTGGCTCCCAGGTCTCCCCCTCCCCCAAACCCCGCCTGAGTCCAGACCACCCCCTCCCTAGCTGGGAGCATCTGAGAAGGCTGCAGTTTGCCCCCCACTTCTCCCCATCCAGAAGGCCAGCCAGGCTCCTTCCTCGAGAGAAGGTGAGTGCGGCGGGCGCAGCGGGCTGGGTGGGTGTGGCTCGCGGCTCCGGGAACAGACCCAAGGCCCCGGCAGCGCCCGAGAGCCGCCCGACAGCCCGCCTGCCTGGCGAGCGCAAGCTCTTCTTCCAGAAACTGCGAGGATCCCAGCGCACTGTTTGTGCACCACAAGGTCAAGTCGGGAAGTGGAGCCGGAGGAGGAGGGGCGAGGAGGCGAAGGGTGGGGAGAGGGGCGCCCCGCTTCCTCGCCAAGTGCCAATCCTTGGAAGTTGCCCCTCGGTTTTTAACCCTTTAAGGGGAGTGGGAAGGAGCAAGGGGGAAGTGGATACCCTCGGGCAAACTCCTACTGGGACCAGGACGTGCAGCCACCCACCCACTCACACATCACTGCGTTCCCTACCCCCCGGAAATGCGGGGCTGAGCCGGGCGCCAAGAGGCACTCGGGCGGGGGGAGGGGGCGACGAACCCGAGAGGGACCCTCTCTACGGACCGCCCCTCCTTCTTAGGTCGCCCACAATTTCAAGTTTCCCCAGCCCGGGATGTTAGTTTCCATCTGCTCTGGGTGGGGGAGGAGAGCCGCGCCCCCTCCCCCAGACTCGCGCGCTCCCCTCCCCTCCGCTCCTGCCAGCACTTTCTGCTCACTTCTGGCGCTGCAAAACGCCACGCGATTTATTCGTTTCGCATTTTTAAACCAGCGATTTAACCAGCAGGGCCTAGAGCGAGGGTCTTCCAGCGCTGGAACCCCGGGAGGCGGGGTGCTCTGTGCAAACCTCATTCCCTCCGCGAGTGTCGCCTTCAGGCTGTTATTTGCAAAGAAACGTCTTTTTGACGCAGGGAGAAATGGCAAATTTTAAGTACGTCATTAATATGGCGCCAAAAGATTTTTTTAAGTATAAGCTTGCATTTTTTTTTTAAAGGTTGCGGGGGGCGCCGCCCCGGTGTGGGGCGCGAAGGGGGCGGGGTGTGAGCAGAAAGTGTGAGTGAGAGTGGAGGGGCGGGGTATGTGTGTGAGTGTGTGAAGTGTGAGCAGACCTGATGGGACTTGCACGGGCGCAGCCGCCGCTTGGGCCCGGCCCTGGGGACAGGGCGGGCTGGGGGCGCCCCAGAGCCCGTGGGGAGTCCAGGCCCGAGGTGCAGGCAAGAGAGCGGCCCAGCAGGGTACCCTCCACCCGGAGGCCTGCAACGCTACCTGAACCCGCGGCTGGAGCCAAACAACTGGGCGGGGGGTCTAAAGAGATCACAAGGAAGTCTTGGTTTAAAAAGAAACAGAAACATACACAGGGGGGTTGGTGAATGGTGCCGACCGCGGCCATCGCAGTTGGAGGCTATTTGGGGGGGTGGGTGAGAGGCGTCCATGGAGTTACTTTGCGCCCACTCCTAGCGTCAAGGGCTTAGGTCCAGCGCGCTGACCGTCCCCGGCCAGGGTGCGGTGCTGGGGACCCCACGGCCCCGGCCGCCTCCTTCGCCACGACCCCGGATGGATGCGCGCCCCCCGCCCGCCCGCGCCGGCCCCAGGAGCTCCGGGTTTCAGGAGCATCCTTCCCACGCCGGCCCCAGCCGCGGCGCGTAACCGTGGGTAGCGCCCCTCGGAAGGGCACCGCGGAGCAAGGTAAGATCCAGCCCCCGGCGACTGGCCCTGCGCATCTCCACGGCGTTATTTTGTGTTTTTGCAACAGATCTGCCAGCGCTTCTCGCTCCCTCTCTCTCTCTTGCTCGCTCGCTCCCTCTCTCTCCTGCTGGCTGCCTGTTCTAGGAAGCCAGCGCGCGCGGGGGGGGGGGGGGTGCCGATGCACAGCACAGGGGAGATTGCGCATGTTGGTCAGTCGTGTTTTAAAGAGTACATTGCGGGGAGGCTGAGAGGGGCGCATGCAACAACAACTTTTGGAAGGGTGAGCTTGGCGACCTTCTTTATTAATGACTGCGGCAAAGCGCCCCTGGGCCGGGGAGGGGGCGCGGGCGGGCGGGGGCGCGCCTGGGCTGCAACTTGCCCCGCGGGCTCTGGCTGGGCGGAGGGGCTGCGGCGGGAGACCTGTGCGGAGAGGAGGTCGCGCGGCCGGGGACGTAGGTTCGGAGGACCCGGGGCTATCTGCCCTCCTGTCTCCCCGAGTTTCATTTTGTTGATACGCAGCACGTCCGGGCGCCGAACCGGGTCGAGCCGGTGCACATGACCCCGGGCTGGGCTCACGTGCAGCCGGTTCGGTCCCAGACACCTTCCGGGGGCCACCGCCTCCGCCCTGTCGCCCCCTCTCCCGGCTGGGTGCACGCGGGCTATGCACGCGGGGGCAGCATGCTCGGCTCCCGGGCGCGGAGGCTCTGCACAAATTAAGCAGTTTTTTGGAGGGGCGGGGGATACCCTTTCCAGGTGAGTATGGAGGGTGCACAGCTCCAGCGCGGGGGGCGCGGGCTGGGGTCGGGGGCAGCCCCCCCGTCCAGGGCTGCGCGGGAGTCCAGCGGGGGAGAAAAGCTGCTGGGAGTGGAAATGTACCGGCGGCCGCCGGAGCGGCGGGTGCGCGCCCGCGGGGCGACGGCAGGGGGCGTGGCCCTTGTTTACCTTCTCCCAACTCTGCCGGTTCGCGTCCCGCTCTGGGGACGGTTCTGCAGTCCCCTGCCCTCCGCCTCCTCCGCCTCCTCCCCGATCCCTGGGTGGTACAGGGAGGATGTAGGCAAGTGGCGCCCCGAGCTTGGGACTTACACACCTGACCCCCAAATGAGTGACATTGCAGCCCCCGCCCCCACCAAGCACCGCTGCAGTCCCTCTCCCGGATCCCCGGCCCCGCCCCGCCCCCGGCGGTGGCATCTTCCCGGCCTCACCTCCTTCCTCCCTCTCTCCCTCCCTCCTTCCCACCCACTCGCCTGCGCCTGCGGAGCGGCTTCTGCCCGCCTCCTCTCCGCCTGGGTGCAGACTTGTGGCTCCCTCCGGTCCCTTCCCGCTTATCCCTGGCCTCTGAGATACCCTGTGCTTCAGGCCAAAGAATGAGAGGGGGTCAGCTTGGTGGTTCGTAGCTTTAATGTCAGAAAAGGAGGATGTCTGCGAGACAAGCAGAAAGGCTTCACTGTAGCTTCTAGAGGCCCAGGACACCCACCCTCCCCACACACACTCTCTGTCCCCCACCACACACAGCTGCCACCCCCAAGGGACTCGACTACTCTCACCCGTTACACCTAAGCTCCTCCTTCCGCTCCCGGGTCAAGGCCACCTCCCGGCGCCACCCCCTGCCCGAACCGCTTCCAGCCTGGGCTGGAGCCCCCCGCAGCCACCTCCGGCTCCTCCTCCCGGCTCCCGCGGTCAGAATCACGCCGGCGCGCCTCCAGCCTGCTGTCCCGTGGACTACCTTTAGGGGCAGGCTGGAGGCGAGTGCCACCCCCCTCCCAATCCCCTTAGCCTTTGCTGCCGGCCGGGACGTTTTTCCTTAGCACCTTGTCTGCTGGTTTCATGCCCTGGGCTGGTGGGGGCTGGAAGGGCTGTGTTTCCCTTTGCTCAGTGCCAAGGGCAGGAAGCATCCGGCGCCTCTGGTCTCTGCAAATTCCCAAACCTTGTCCTTGCGCTTAGCATTCTCTCTCGTTGTCCACCCCCCCCCCCCCCCCCCCCCCCCCACTTTGGAATTCCAAGACACAAAGTTTTATACAGGGTCTTAAGTTTGCAGGGGTCATCAGGAGGCATCGCGTTTGCACTCCTAACCGAGGAGCTGAGAGGACACAACTGACTGCTACCTTGCCTTTGTTGCAAGGGGGAGGAACCCTGAGCTTTGAGGCCAGACAAGCTGTCAGGATGTCCCTTTAACGTTTATGTTTGCTAACTTAGTCTTGGGCCTGGGTGGTGGTAGGGCCGCCTGGCCCCTCCTCCCAGGGTGACATTAACTCCCTCCCTTCACTGGTAAAATTCCCAGTAGGACATTTGGCAGAAGAGCTGGGCAGGGAGCTGCCAACCAGGCCTGGCCCTGTTTCCTGGGTTCCCAGGGTGCTGGCTTTTCCCCGACCCTGACTTCCTTTCCCACCTTAGGGCCCCAAGTGAAGGCACCATCTCTCCTGTCCCATCTTCCTCAGGCGGGTTGGGACTCGCAGAACCATCTAACAAGCAGAGAAGGAAAATAACAACAGAATAACTGTAAGAGGAAGGAATGAGTAATAAAGCCGACCCAGGCAGGGAGGAGGGCTTTCATGTTTAAGAGATGCTATTTGCTTTTTAGGTCACAGGCTGCGAAAACAGGCTTTGATCCGATCCGAAGTGGGCGAATAATTTATTGAGAAAGTTTGCATGGTAGGGGAAAAAAGGGATGTTTGTTTGATCTGGAGGCCTCTCAGTTGTCCCAAGTGCTGTTGGCTGTTGTCTAGAGTGGAAAAGCATTTGGTTCCACAGCAAATGCCTCACTGAGGGAAGTCCTCGCCCCAGGCAGCAAGACTTGCAGTGAGTGTTGGTTTTGAAACTGCTTAGCCAAGGGTCTCCCCAGCACTTTTGGAGTTGAAGTGTTTAAGGGTAGAGTTGTTTGGGCTCGGGATGCAGCAAATGTTTCCAGAACATTTCCCATCCAACGTGCTTTTCCTTTCCCTAAATGGCCTGGCTGAATGGCCAATTACACTGATCCAAGAGGCAGTCGGAAATCTCCACTTAGCTTTTGTTGACAGGTGAGGTGGAACTCTGATCCCCAGACCCCAAGGCCTTCCAGAATCTTGAGGTTAGGCTTTTGGCACTGATTTCCACATCCTTGAGGTTGGGGGTTAGGGTATTAATCGTTGTTCCAGTTATCAGGGAGGTACTTATCTTATACCCAAGACCCAAGTCAGAGGCTTCCAGTCCAAATTCTTCACAGCTCATCCAGCAGGCTCTTTTTGGGACTCACAGTTTTCCCTTTGGGGTCTCTGGGTGGGGGGCAAGTTGAAGTTGTGAAGAGGGGAATATCTGTGCCTTGCCCTGTCCTCCATGTAAGAGCCTCACCATGTGTCTCAAAGTTGAGGAACCCAGGGAGACTCTCAGGAAACCCGTAAGAATCTGGAGTACCCCAACCATACTCCCGAGTTGCAGGTCTGTGCACTGTATGCTGTACCCCTCCTCCCCCCACCCCCCGAGGTGGGAGCAAGGTGTTCTCTCTAAGATCAGACAGCCTAGGTTTGAGTGCTGGCTTTGCAGTCACCAGCTGTGGCAACTGCTCCATGCCTCAGTTTCTTCATCTGCAAATGGGGTTACTGACAGTACCTACCTCATGGTGGGTGTGTGGATTAAGTGATACATTGCATAAAGAAGACTAAGCACAAAGCCGGGCATGGGGTAAGCACCTGATTGGTATTAGCAATTCTTACTATTAATAACCTGGATAGGACCCAAACGCAGCTGACCTTTGACCTCTCCCCTTTAAGGTAGGCCAGAGAGCCAGCTCCATTCTCTGAAGAAGGAATCAGAAGGACCCTGCAGTTGCCAATGGGCAGTCATCCATGGAACGAGTGGGCTGAACTTTGCCCTCTCTGTGGTGGAGGGTAGGGTGCGAAGGTGCTGAAGGACAAAGTAGACAAAGCCCCTTTCTGTCTCCAAGGATCCCCTTGGCTTGTCCTCAGAACTGGGTCTGGATGGTGGGTGTGGAGAGTGTGTTCTAGGGGAGCTGGGTGCCCCCGGGACAGGCGAGCAGCGATGGGTGTTGGAGGAGGGTTAGGATTCCCTGTGATTGGAGAAGCAAGTCTGAGGATCTGTGTGTACAAAATCACTGTTGTCACAGCAGTTACTGTCCCTGAGAAGGCATTAAAGTTAATGAGAGATAGGAAAGAGTGGGGCTCTGACCCCCATTTAAAACGGTTTAAGAGTATGCAGCTCTTGTTTTCTGAATGTCTGGCCTTCCCGACACAAGCAGGCTCTGAGGACAGGTTTTCCAGCCGAAATATCATTAAATTGTATTAGCATCTTATTACACACACGCCTTAGCGGTCTGCCTCAGACAGGGAGAGTTTTTGTTTCTCTTTGAAAGATTGTGTCTGGAATGGTAAATTGCCTGCTTGAAAGCCTTTTCCTCCCCTTTTTAAAGGAGGAAGACGAAATCCTGCTGTGTGTGGTGGCAGGCTGGGCAGGCCTGGTGGCCCCCAGAGAGGAGAGGCCGGAGGCCAGGTTGGGCTGTTTTAACTGCCCAGGGAGCTGCCGCAGTAGCAGGCCTGAAAGACCCACTGTTTCCAGGGTCAGCTGGAGGGGCGTTAATGGAGGCCCAGGGTGTTTATTTGAGTTTATTTGCGGAGAGGTCTTTAAAGGGGGCTGGCATTGGGCATTGGTGTTTCAAGTCCAGACCTGAGGTCCCCACTAAGACCAGTGGCTAGTGCTGCCAAGAAAACATCTGCCACCAAATTGCTGCCCTATTACTGAGTTGACATTGATCATTAGCCAGGAGCCCAACCAAATAAAGCCTCTTGGAAAACGTGTGAGGTTAAGACGGGGAAGGCGGGCTGTGCAAACAGGTCGAAATCTGGGGCTGGGGTGTTTGCTCCCATAGGCTGTGAGCAGGCTGCTGGGCTGTGTGGCCCCACACTTCTGGGGGGAGGGGACAAGAGCACACTCAGCACTGAGTGTGCACCAAACTCTTGTCATGTGCTAGGTACATCTCAAAGGGGTACTGGGCACCAGCAAGGATCCAAACAGTTACACTTTTTCTTGTTGTGAAACATATACTCTGAAGGAGAAGGACATTCAACAAGTAGCTCAACAGACACTTCTAAAGAAGCTGAGTAACTGGGTGGTGGGCTTTCTGTAGATAAGGCAGCTGGCATAGACCTCTGTGATGTTTAAGCCAAAACCTGAAGGATGAAAAGTCAGAGATGCCTAGATTGTGTAGACCATTACAGGCATAGAGCACACCTGTGCACAGGTCTGATGGCATGGACTGTCTGTTTCAGGAAATGAAAGGAGGCTGGTTTGACTGGGAAGTGGTAGGAAACGGGCTGGTGGTCAATATGCAGAAAACAGGGACCAGATCATATAAAGTCTTATGGTTAGAAGTTTGAGTTTTGCCCTTGATCAACAGGAAGCCTGTGAAAGATTTCAAATAGGACATATGACATGATCTGATGTATGTTTTCTGAAGATCATTCTGGCTACTGTGCGGATCCTGAATTATAAGGGAGCAGTAGTGGAAGCTGGGAGATGAATGAGGAGTCCTGCGAGAGATGAGACTGGCCTGGACCAGCGTGGAAGCAGTAAAGATGGGGAAGGTGGCTGGATTCTCCATGTGTACTGGAGGGAGCACCCACTGCACTTGCCAATGGTCAGCGGTGGGGTGGAGGAGCCACAGCAAGGCTGCTCACTGAGGCGACCCTAGGACATCCACACTCCCAGAGGAGAGTTTCTCCATAGCTGGGGAAGGTGTAGGAGTGCAAGCAGACTGGTGGCAATGGCAGGAAAAGGGGACACTTCTTTCCCAGAGTCTCCTTTGTGGTACTTTCTGTCCCTAAAAATAAGTGCCTCATGACCCTGAATATTCTCCCAGGGCAGACCTTGCTTTGGGAGAGGTTAGGGGAGCCAGTAGAGAGGAAAAACGAGAGGCCAAGGTCAAGTCTTGGCACCCCCATCCCCACCTGCATGTGTAGCCCTGGATTTCAGCTTTGGTAGGAATCCTCCGTGTCCTCTGTGCTGGGTTGGAGGGGGACATCATGGGGCAAAGCCTTGTCCTGCAGGGGAGGCCAGGCCTCATTTGAGGCTTCATTGGCCACTGAGAAGAGGCTTACCTGAGGCAGGGAGACCTTTCGAACAGACTTGGTTCAAAGAAAAGAAGCAAAGCAGTGGTTTCCCTCTGAAGCCTAGTTATTATTCCAATTAAGCCGCCGCAAAATCTGCTCCCATAATAACACACTGTCCAGGAGGACTCTGGGGTGTTTCATGGAGGAGCTGGCTGAGGGTGGGGTGCAGGTCTGCGTGCTGACAGGTCACACTGGTCCTGGGCAGCAGGAAACAGCAGCAGGAAGAGATCCTGGCAGTCAAGGGGTCCTGTTGTCAGGGGCCTTCCTTACTGCACAGCTCACTGCCTTGCTGAGGAGGCCTTCAGGTGGCTGCTGGTAGAATTGTTCACCTGGCCTAAGTCTGCTGTGGTATTAATAACCAGCACCCATATGGAATGCCAGCCACTGTGCTAAGGGCTTTATGCTGCTCTCCTTCACTCACCAGCTGATTCTGGCCCACAGATGTGTTTAGTTTGGCCCTCTCTAAGTGTTTTAAATATCTAAATCAGTTGCCAGCATTTTAAGTTCAGGAGATTTATGTTTAATTCCAGATCCAATTTGTGTCTTTGGGGAAGTATGTCTTTCCCAAGGTCCCTGGTCTAGTGAGGGGTTGAGATAGGATTTGAACTTGACCTCCCTGAATCCAGTGCTGCTGCTTTTATGCTATGGGACAGCCTGGCTTGCAAGTGCCTATTTGCTGGAAATGAAGAAAAATGCAGTTCATGTAGAGGATTTCAGAAGAAAACAGATGGGTGCATGAAGAGCACTTCTCTCCCTGCTCCTACCCCACCTGTGACAGCTGGGTTGGCAAGATTCAGGCTGGAGTCAGAGTTGTGTTACAGTCACCTCTGTCACACGCAGACCCCAGAGGACAGCAGGGATGGACATGGATCTGGGTAGTGGAGTGTTATTGCCCCATTCAATCATTCAGTCTATGACCTGAGCCACTGGGCTACACAGAGGCAGAGTAGTCTCAAGGTCAAGAGCATGGTCTCCTGAGTCAGAGAAACCTCTTATAAGAACTGTGATCTTGGGCAAGTCACTTAACTTCTGAGCTTCATTGTCCCCACCTGCAAAAGGGAAGCAGCCATCATGCCCGCCAGCACCAAGGGCCAGTTCTGAGGCCTCATTGGGGTCCCTGTGTGCCAGGATGCGCCCCTCCCCAAGCAGTGGGTACTTAGCTGTTTCAACTCTGGTTCCTGCCTCCTTGGCATCCATGCTTCTCTCCACCAGGCATGCCTCCAGACCTCCACACCCTCTGGAGAGCCCTTGGCCTCCACCTTTGCAGCTGGGCAGCAAGCAGCCCCAGTGAACCTTTCATCCTGACCCTACTCTTGGGAGACATGGGGGTGGAGAAAAGCTCCTGGCTAAGGTCAAGTTTGAGGCCAGAGGGTCCTTCTGAGTAGCTCAGAGTTCTGGGTAATTGCAACCCACTTTAGAGAGCCAGTGCTCCTAAGGCCTCTGCAAGGCCACAGTAAAATAAGGTGACCCCTCCCAGGGGTCCCACCCCTCCGCATGAGTAGACTTGGGGTGACAGCAGGTGGCAAATGGGATTCACAGTGGGGTTGGGCAGCCCGGTTGGTTGGCAGCTGGGCTTTCTCCCTACTGACACTGGCTCCTTGTCCTTTCCTGTATACAGTGAGGCAGCCCAGGGTCTAGGCTGACAAAAACATGGTGCAAAGCCCCGTGGGCTCTGAGCCCCGGGTCTGTTCTCTGAATTGGGACTCAGCCACTGACTAGCTGTGAGACCTAAGGCAGGTTAACAAGTCTCTCACTGTGCTCCCCTCCAAGAGGGGACCAGAGCAGGCTCTGCCACCCAGGACTCTGCAGGATTAGAGGAAATAGTGGGTAGGAAAGCACTTCCAACAGGCAGGAGCTGACAAGGGCACAAAGGCAGCTCAGTGTGGGCTCGGGGATCAGACCACGTGGATTCAAATCCCGGTTCAGCCGAGTCACCAGCAGGACAAGGCACTGAGCCTCCTCAGTAAATGAAGCTAATAGCTCACAACTCCCCAGGTTGTTAGGAACACGAGATAGCTGAGTTGGCACGGGTAGGGGAAAGAGCTCAGTATGGGAGAGCCGCCCTTCTACCTTGAAGCTAAACATTGTAGTGGAGGGAAATGAGTTTGTATCTTTACCTGGAGATGGACACTGAGGGGAGGGTGGGCAGCGCAGCAGCCCCTTCACTCTGGCCTGGTGCGGCTTGGGAACCCAGCGTGGGGCCTCCCTGCCCCCACCCCAGTTCCGCGCCCCTCTGGCTGCCACTCTCAGGATATGCAGAGTGCAGGCTCAGTGCTTGTGGGCTGGCTTGTCCCTCAACTCCCATCGCCTGGTCCTCCTGGAAGAGTCTGTCTGTTTCTGTGCCCTCCCTCCTCTGCCTCAAGCAGGGCACCACGTGCAACTTGCAGGTGAGAGGGGATTCCATGGTGGGTGAGGGAGCTGGGGCGAGGCCGGTCCAAGTCACTGTTCATTCTGGGGCTACTGACCCCTCTTGTCCTTCCTCATTGTCATCTTTGACTAGGTTCTCTGTTGTGTGAGGCTCTGGGCTCAGGAGATGAGAGATGCTGCCCCCTCCCCCAGCCCCAGGGCCCATGTAGGTGGGTGAGAGAAGGGGGAGGCTGCCTGAGGAGAAGGCTTAGGGCATGGCCTTCTTCTCATTCTTCCTCTGCAGCGGGGCGAGTGTGGGGAGGTAGATTGACGGGCAGTTTTCTGAGAGGTGGAGGATTTCCCGAGCCGCCTGTGAGTATAATGGGGCCTACTTTCGTTGCAGATGGAAGAGAAGAGGCGAAAGTACTCCATCAGCAGCGACAACTCTGACACCACCGACAGTAAGGCCTTCCACGTGGGGCTCCTGCAGGGACAGTGTTTGAATAATTATCAGGACCACAGGCCCAGATTGGGGGAGTGGGACATTGCTCCAGAGTGTCCGTGTTGATGAACGCATAAAGCAGCCCGGGTCCCTCTGCTCCTCTGAGAGCCCCCACACCACCATGGCCTTTGGGGCCTTGCTGTCCTCTGCTCTGCTCCCCTTTACCCTCTCGCTCTCAACCCCTGTGTTTTGCTCTGGTTGGAACAGATCAACTCCACTCTGGGTCTTCCTTTGCCTGTGCTGGTCGGGCTGCTGGAAACACACCTCACTCCCTCTGGCCCTGCTGTTGAGTCGGGGCCCTGTGGAAGTGTCCACACAACAGGCAAAAAAACCTGTCACTCTTCATTATAATTGCCTAATCAGTGTTATTTCCTAACCAAGTGCCACTTCCTTATCAAACTAAGCCCCTTGGTAAGAGAGGTCATGACTTGCTGACTGCCATATCCAGCTAGATGGGGCACATAATAGGTGATCAGTAAATGTTTGCTGGAGAAATTAATGAAGGAGCCTGACCTTCATGGGATCTTGGCAGTAGAATCTCAGAGATAGACTTGTGTGGGGGCTGGGTGTGTCAGCTGGATAGAGGGGGACACTTTTACACAGAAAATGGGGCTTAGGGAGCCTCTTCTGAAATGCGGAGGCAAAAAAGTTTGCGTTAGGTGAGGGCTTGTCCCTGGTACCAGAAGGCAGCTCTTAGGTGCCCCACGAACCCAGGCCTGCGTGAGCCAGTCGGAGTAAAGAGTTCCATTCTGCCCTGTGTAGGAGAGATGCGCTGCCAGGAAGATTCCCACCTAGTGGTGCCCTCAGGTGAAAGCCTGGAGCCCTGCAGCTGTAGACTTAGCTTGTTCACATATATGGTGAGCAGCTGGGACTGGGGAGAGCCTCAAGGCTCCCTTAGAGTCCCTGGAGTTCTCTCACCCCAGGAACCTGAGGGTTCAGGAACACATGCACTAGGATGAGAAGGCAGTGCTCGCCTGTCTCTCCCTCCGGGTTTCCTTTACTGTCCTTTGGGGTCTGTTTGCTCAGACTCCAGCTTGGCTCTGGAGTCTGACCTGGCTGGCTCTTCCTCCCCGGGGCAGTAGATCGCAACATCTGGCCGTCTGTGACTGCAGTCATGCTGCCTGCGGCCTGTCTCAGTGTCCTCCGCTTCTAACTTTATTTCAGGCAAAGGAACCCTTGAAGCCCCAGGCACCTGCAGGGGAGAGCGCCTGGCAGCTGAGCCCTGTATCTGCACTGGAGTTGGGCTGGGCTGTGGCATACTCCCTTCTCACCAGTCCCCGCACTGCCCACCTAGGCTATGCTCCTTGACCCATAGGAATGGAGACCAATCTTAGTGTAGTCCCACAAGGGCCTTTAGAGCCCGAGTGATAATGGGTAGTGTGTATCAAAGCAGTGCCACGTGCAAGGGACTGTACTAAGACTTTACAGGCATGGTATCATTTAATTCTCACAAAAACTCTTTGAAGACAGTTACTCTCTGCCCCCATTTTATACAAAAGCAAGCTGAGGCTCAGACTGAGTCATTTGCCCATCATGAGGAGCTAATAAGTGGCTGAGCCAGGGCTCAAGCTTAAGTCTGTGGGTCTACTTTAGAGCAACCCTCTTGGGTCACACAGAAAGCTAATACTGAGTCCTTGTCCCACTGCCTTTCACCTCCCAAGTCTCTTCTGGTTGGTGAGTGGAGGATGCGTCATGACCCCATTCATCATTGGAGAGGCCCAGAGCAGGGACAGTCCACCAGATGCTCACAGAGGTCTCCACCTCCTAAACATTCAAGCCAGAGCTTGCCTTACAGGTTTCCTTTCCTTGGACATGGGTGGGTGGTGTTCCTGGCCTTCCAGGGGCCCCTCATGGGCTGTGCTCTCTCTGCAGGTCATGTTACATCTGCATCAAGATGCTCCAAACTGCCCAGCAGCACCAAATCGGGCTGGCCCCGGCAGAACGAAAAGAAACCCTCCGAGGTGGGTAATGACAAGTATCCTGGAGAAAGATGAAGCAGAAGTGGAAGGGTGACAGGAACAGAGACCTGTGGAGAGGGAGGACTGTGTGGGGGAAGTGCAGGTGTATGGGGAGAGCGGATTCCTGGTAGAGGACGCAGTCATTGCAAAACAAGACCAGTGTGGCTGAGTGAAGTGATTGAGAGGAAAGGGTGGGAGTGCCAGTTCTCATAACCTTACAGGTTGTTGTAAAGATGTTCCTATTGATCTGGGTGAGGGGAGGAGCCTTTCAAGGATTCTAAGCAGGGTAATGACATACTCTGATGTTTTAATGAAAGGTCCCACTGACTGCTGTAAGGGGGAGGGAATGTGATGGGCAAGAGTGGGAGCAGGGAGGCTTCTTTAGCATTTGTCCAGAAGAGAAATTATGGTGGCCTTAGAGCTGGGTGATTGCAGTGGAGTAAGAAGCAATAGGATATGGGACATTTTGGAGGCTGAACCAAGAGTGACAGGATTCGCTGAAGAAGGATGGCTTCTTCAGAGTCATCCAGTTAGGCCATCCACTCTTTATTATGCCCATTTCAGGTGCATCTGCGCTTTATTCCTTTCCTGCTTTGACCCTATCTTTTGGGACAGGTAGAGACATTCATGACATCGGGAGCTGTAGAGAGTTTTGGAAGTCAGTAGACAAATGGACATGGGGCCCTGCCTCCTGTAGCCCCTGAAAATAACATCCTAGAGCCTCATTGCTCCCTCTTAGGTCTTTAATGCATTATAGTGGGCAAAGAAGAGACCTTTGGAACAGATGAGGCTGCAAGAGCCCTGAGTCCCCAGTGGGGTGGTTTTGAGTCTGACCTTTGAGAGAGACATTGTTCTGCAGCCCATAGGGCTTCCCCGGTAGCTCAGCGGTAAAGAATCTACCTGTAATGCAGGAGTGCAGGAGACGCAGGTTTGATCCGATGGTCAGGAAGATCCCCTGGAGGAAGGCATGGCACCCACTCCAGTATTCTTACCTGGAGAATTCCATGGATAAAGGAGCCTGGCGGGCTACAGTCCATAGGGTCACAAAGAGTTGGACACGACTGAGCGACTTAGCACACACACACACGGGCTGGACATTTTACTTTTTTTAACCCTCCTGTTATAGTAAGGAAACTGAGGTTATATATATAGTCAAGGTGTGAAGTTCTTGGGGCCAACAGCACCAGTGTGAAGGCTCAGAATTCTAGGGCAAAGCACTTGGCCCTGGCCTGGACTGAAGGAAGATATCTTTGTTCTGAGCCTGGCAACCTCTTTTCCCCTCCTCGCAGCAGTGGTGATCCAGGAGCTGCTGTCCTTAGCCAGTCCCTAGGGGTGTTTTCCAGAGAACCTTGCATTTGAAAAAGGACTCCCCGCGCAGCTGGCCTACCCTGGGACTCATCTTTTGTGGGAATTGGAGGTGGGGACACCGTTTTGAGTTCTGAAGCCTCCTGTTCTGATCCCCTAACCAACTGTCCTCCCTTGGCCCCACAGTGGAGGGGTAGAGACGGAAGGCGAAATCTCCAGGAATGCAGTAAGGACTGGAATAAAAGCTGGGAGTGAGGTGGGCATGGGAGGATGTTGTTCTTGAGTCTCTTAATAAGGTTCCATCCCTGGGTGGGGAAGATCCCCTGGAGAGGGAAATGGCAACCCACTCTAGTATTCTTGCCTGGGGAATTCCATGGACATGAGCCTGGGGGGCTTCAGTGCATGGGGTTGCAAGGAGTCGGACACATCTGAGTGACTAACAGTAGCCCTGCTCACTGGGTGGACAGGCTGTGTTCTTGTGCACTGGGAAGTAGGAGGCAGAGTGTGATAGGGCCCTGGGAGTCCATGGGACCACTCCTCTGCCCACACCCTCATCTTGAGAGCTGCAAGGGCTCCCAGTTACTACTTGGGCTGAATTAGTAAAACCCTAGCCACCTTTTGTGTCTCCCTGGTCCTGAAAGGCTGGAGAAGGAAATGGCAACCCACTCCAGTGTTCCTGCCTGGAGAATCCCAGGGACGGGGGAGCCTGGTGGGCTGCCGTCTATGGGGTCGCACAGAGTCGGACACGACTGAAGTGACTTAGCAGCAGCAGCATGTCCTGAAAGGCAGTAGTCACCCTGCTGTTTTGAAGCTGAGGAACCCGCCTCTGAGAATCTCACCTCCTCACTGTGTTCGTGGGCTATTCAGATTGGAGAATGGAGGGGAAGTTCTGGGGAGCCCCTGGGGCTGGCTTAGTTCCTTCCCCTAGCTCTCACTTTAAGCAGCAGGAGGAGGAGGGGCCTCTGCCCTGGGCGGAGATCCTGGGGACCTGGCTGCTATCAATACCTAGGATAGGCTGCCGGCTAGGGGAAACAGATGTCAAGTAGAGGCTGAGGGGAAAGTGTGATTTGCATGGCGCTGAGAATTCCCCTCCCTCTTGGATTTTCCTGTGCAGGGCCTTTGAACCTTTCTTCACCTAAAAATAGAATCGAACCATTGCTCGGGTGCTGAATGGGGACGGGCTGTGCGCAGCCCTGGGTTCAAGCCCAGAAGCCTCTGCGAGGGCAGGGGGGCCTCTGACGACCTCCAGTCCTAGGCTCCTGGAGGGCTGAGGAAGTCTTCCCTGTCTTGAACTGTCGCCAAGGACAAGCTTTTCCTCCCACAGCAGGGGGAGAGCAGCCTGCGAGGTTTCCCTCGTCCCCTAAGCAAGGAGACTGAGCCATAAGCCGGCATAAATTCCAAGTTTTCGTGGGGCAGAGAGGAAACTATCGATGAAAGCTTCCAAATGATTTGGCTCGTGAGAAGGCGGAGATGAAAGCGAGGATTTGGCGGCAGATAATGCTCGCACTAAATCTCTTCACTGGCTGTCCCTTCTCTCTCTGAACGGGCTGGAGAGAAAGGCCTTCCTAATCTTCTGGTGCTGGGGGCTGAGGGCTTCCGACACCCTGGTGAAAGGGCTTCTGGAGTCCCTCCCACTCGGTCCCAGAGTAAGAAGCCTGGGGGGTGGTTTTCAGGCTGTTCACACGGTCTGCTCCCAGTCTGGCTCAAGTTCCCAGCTTCAGTACATGCAAGTTGATGTGTGTGGTGCAGGAGTCCCTTCCTGGTAGCCGCATGCAGAGCCACGGGACTGGGAGGTTTCTTCGTCTCCTCATCTTTGAAGATGGACGGTGATGAATGGGGATTTGAGCGTCAGGAGTATTTAGCATGACAGCAGCACTGGCGCATAGAGAAGCCACCAGTTCTGGAAAACGCAGGCAATGGTTTAGGGAAGGGTTTAGACGAGACTGGCAGGGCTGCCCCTGAGATGATACGTGCACTCTGAGGGTGCAAATCAAGGGGCGCCCTACACACCAGAGGGAGAGGCCCCAGGCTGGAACAGAATGATCTGACCAGGAGTCAGGACCCTGGACAGGGCCGAGGCCTTGAGGCCCAGCTTCTCTTTCTGGCCCTTAACCAGTGGGTGGCTTCCTCAGCCTGATTGAGAGGGGACTGCAGGCCTCAGTACTTGGGGCTGAAAGAACAGGCCCTGGGATTCCTGGGAGGCTGGTTTAGGAGTTTTGGTGGCAGTACACTTAGTCTGAAGTTGGCCCTAGGATCCGTTTGACAGTGGAAGGAAAAGGTGGGGCTGACCCCAGGAACACAGGCTGCTGCCTTCCTCTGCTCTGCCTGCCAGTGGGATCCCAGCAAAGCTGAGCTCTGTCCCTTGGTGCTTAAGTTGGCCAGGCCCGTCCTGAAGGAGAGGACGGGATTATCCTAGCCCGGGGGAGCCGCTATAGGCATTGGGTTTCTGGCCTGGCCTGTCTCACTAAATAGCATGAATGTAACTTTGTGGGTCATACCTCTGAGAGCCTGATGGAGATCACAGACCAGGGATTATTTTTTAAAATACCAATATCAGACCCTTATCCCATACCATTCTCAAGAATTCTGACTTGAATGCTTTGGAGTAGGGCCCCAGGCACCTGTACTTTTTCAAAGCCCTCCTGCTGGAAGCCAGGGTTGAGAACTACTGCTGTAGACCTTTTTCCATGATCTGCTAAATGGGAGTTTCCGGCTTGGTCCTCGCTGAAAGTTGAGGGAAGAAGGGAAGGCCTTCCAGCCTGGTTCAGTGACCTAAACAAATGCTGGCCATGTGGCTGTGGCATCACCCACAGCTCCTCCCTTCTCCCACAGCAGCCATGGGACTCACAGGTTTCTGCTAAGCCCTCAGCCTGGCATGGGTGGGAAGGGCATTTTGAGAAGAGACCTGGAAGCCAGGTGGTTGGGAAGACTGCTGTCTTGAAGCCATGTCTTCCTCAGGCATGGGGCAGAGAAGCAGATGGAGGAGCAGGCTGAGAAGTGAGGATTTCCCAGACAGGCTTTCTTGAGGTAGAAATCTGTGTTTTCAGGAAGTCAGAGTCCCCAGAAGTCAGCCAACAGGCAGGGAGATAGGTCTTTAGGACCTTAATGATAGTGATTAAACTCAGCAAACACTCGAGAGCACCTCTGAGGCCCAGCCTAGTGCCAGGGACACAGAAAGCGCAGGCCCTGTCCCTGGGGAGCTTGTCTTTTGTTAGCAGGATGCAGGTGCTGCACAGGAAAGTGTCCGTTACGAGTGATGTAGCCAGCTTGCCACTGAGGAACTGTGAGACTTGGGGCAAGTATAGTCTCTCTGTGAGCCTCAGGGTTGTTGTCTGTAGAGTGCTGTCCTGCAGTTTCTGTTCTGTAGGTGTGACTGTCCTGTCCTGAGGCCCGTGGAGCCTAGGGGTGGGGGGAGAACCCAGACGTGAGTGAAGGAGGAGCTCGCATGCCTGGGATGGAAGCCTGGATGGTCTCAGAACGGGGTGGGCAGGAGTTGGGCTCCTTTTTAGGCCCTGGTGACAAACTGTACATACCTTGAGATGAGAGAATGGGGGGCTTCTCTGTGGGTTCCACAGGGGCCCCTCACCAGTGCTCAACCTCTCACCCCTGGAGCAGGGCCTGGGAGAAAGAGGTGACCCTGTCAACAGCCTCTGCCAGCAGTGGAGGTCTTCCAGATCCAGTGTCTGTGAAAGTTCCTA